TCCCAGCAGCTATTCTTTATGAACTGGGACAGAATATTTTCAATATCTTAACAGTGAACATGACCTTTTTTTTTTTTTTTTTTTAGATTTTATTTATTTATTTGATAGACAGAGATCACAAGTAGTCAGGCAGAGAGAGAGGAGGAAGCAGGTTCCCCGATGAGCAGAGAGCCCAATTTGGGTCTCAATCCCAGGACCCTGAGACCATGACCCGGGCTGAAGGCAGAGGCTTTAACCCACTGAGCCACCCAGGCGCCCCCAGTGAACATGATCTTATCAGAGAATGTTGGTTGGGTGCCAGCTCTGCCTTGGGGTGACACCCATCTGCCTCCCTGTCTTTAATTATTTCCAATAGAACTTGAACTATTATACAAAGAAAAAAATAGAGAAAAAGTTTTAAACTGCAGCTGTAAGGACTGAAGCTAGGCATGGGAAGGACTTTCCTTACAGCGGAGAGCCACTAATGGGAAACTAGAAGGAAACAAGACTCCTGTGGTCTCTGGAGAGAGATCTGTTTGGCCTGGGTCTTGGACTGTGCATTGGAGACCAAGGGATGATGGAGCAACTTCTGGGGGGTACTTCCTGCCCTGAGAAAGAGCTGCTGTGGGTGCTGGGGGATGAACCCGATATCCTAAGACATGTGCTGGCCTGTCCAGAGGATGAGGCTGCCCTGTGTTTGGGGTGCCCTGCCTGGAAGAAAGGGGGACAAAGGGCTCCCAGGGCCCCCTTTAAGAGAGGTGAATACTGTCCCTGCTGGGCGCCCTGTGCACACCTAACTCCCCTCACACACTGACAACAAACCTGGCCAAGAAAGAGGCCTTTGTCCTAAGATATCTGAGGCTGCTGGGGGAGGGGAGAAGGCTACAGGTGAAAGGACACATCAAAGCAGCCACTGCCCCTCCTCCCCAAAATAGCTCCCCTCCCTCTCTCCCAGACCCGAGGCTTTCCTTAAATAAAAGCAATGCCCTAAAAGCCCACTTGCCTTAACAGCTGGGACACTAGACATTGGGTCCCTATCTTCAGCAGCTATGACTCAGTTTCCCTATCCCTAAGAGAGTTAAGGGGGCAGAAGGAGGGAGGTAAGACTTGTATGAAGTTTAGAGGTCACCTTGGAGTGGGCCACCAGGTTGGATTTCATCCTATGCAAGGGAGAAACGCAGGCCTGGCCGGACTCCTGGGCTCGGAAGGAGGGCTGAGAGGCGCTGGAAGCCATGTGTGCCCCCGCTGGCCGGGAGCAAGGTGGGGGCGGGGTGTGGGTAGAAACCACACCGGGCTCAAGTTTCCTCTCTTGGCCAGAAGGGGCAGGAGGAGAGGAGGGCCACGGGGAGAGGGGAGGGTTGGAGGAAAGACGGAGAACTCAGGCCGAGGTCTTCAGAGAGGAGGCTGGTGCGCCACCCGGCGCTCCCCGTGCTCAGGCCGAGCCTCCACACTTGGCGCTCAGAAATGGCCCGGGGGCGGAGCGCGGCCCTCCCCCGTTTCCAGAGGTAGCAGGGATCCTCACCCGGGAGGTGTCAGCGCAGGCCCAGCCTCCCCAGAGACAGCAACGGGAGCCACATCTCTCTCCTCGCCCAGCTCGGACCCTGCCACAGGTGCCTGAGGGGCGGGGTGGGAGGTCGATTCCAGTGGGATCCCACGGGCGAGCTGGGGAGGTGGAAGGGGCAGAGGGAGAAAATGACCAACTTTCTGCACACCCCCAGGAGAACTCGGGCCTTCCCTGGCTGCCCCTGGCTTGGGAATTTGACATCTTTGGGAATTCATCTGGGAGAGGACCTAGATGGCTTATTGAGCACTCTTGAGATTCTTGGGTGAGAGGCTGTAGGTGGGGACCAGACCAGTCATCCTCTGAGGCCCCTTTGAGGGGGTAGGGGTGACCCTGAGTAACCCTTCAGCAGGAGGGTGCCCCCCCGGGGGGGCGGGGGGAGCTGACAAAATCTTAGGCCTATGGTACCCCCCTTTCCTTTACTCAATTCCATCATGCTGTCCTGACTGGCCAGCTGGGAGGATTTGGGGGAAGGTGAGGAACTGGAGACCCTGGATGCCTGGATGCCTGGATGGGTGAGGAGCACGGCAGAAGGATGGGATGGTGGGCGCAGAGCTATTGAGGTCTTGCCTCCTTTGCTCCTTCTGGGCCTAGGCAGTTGAGCTCACTAGAACTGACAGGGAAAAGAAGGCATCCTACCCCGCTACAGCTCCTTCAGACTGGAAATCTTTGCAGCTGGGAAAGTAGGAGGCTGGGTAGCAGTGGAAGAGAAGAGGGGAGGTAACAGATCTGCCGGGGCTGGGAGTCTCTAGTCATTGGCCCCCAAATGACTGGCGTTTGGTTTCTAGGGACCGAATGAGGATAACAGAAACTTGTTCCTTTCTGCCTTGTTCCCATCCACCTCTTTGAGTCGTGTATGTCCTTAGGAAACTAAATCTCACTCTGATCAACTCTCCCTCTCTCTTCCGGTTTCCTCTGTTCTGTTTCTCTATTTCACCTCTATGTGTCTCTCCCTCTTTGGGGATGGTTCCTAATGTTTCTAAATAGCTTGCTCACCTGCCACTCCACACCCCAGGTTTCCCTGATCCCTCCCCATCTTTTCACTGCTCCTGGTGACACCGGGAGAGGTGGGTTGACCTAATAAACCTCAGAACAGGATCCCAGAGGCAAGCACCTTCTCTCGTTCTCTCCATCAAGGCACCCCCACAAATGGTCCTCATCTTGAATTCTTAAATATAAAGCTCTGTGTCATTCTGTGAGTACTCAGAGACTGTGATAAGAGCTTTCTGGGGAGCACCATCAGAGTAAGGATCAGAGTAAGGAGGATGGATTATAGCCCCTGGAGATGGCGCTGGTCCTACCTGGTACATGTTGGTAGGGAGGAAAAGGGCTGTGTGACTTCAAAGTGCAGGTTAAACTGGAAAGTGTGAACTGTTTATTGTAAAGCAAAAGGGACACAGGGAGGCCTGCTCTAGTCTCCCAAGAGCTGTTGTTTCTGCATCCTCTGTGACGTTTTGTTGGAGTCAATTCTGACTACGCCGTCCTCCCTGATCTATACCACTAGCTCCCAGTCCAAGACACCCAGGCCCCCAGGCCCATCCTTAGAAAGGTAGGTTCCTAAGGTCCAGAGGGGCCTATGCCTGGTGCATAGACCACCAACAACCACTGACTATCTAGGGGAAACCATACTATTCCCTTTTGGCCCGGTGCAAACTTGCCACTGCCCCAGAGAGGTGGTTGGAACTAGCTGATCTAGAGATTCTCATCAATTCCCTCTTCTCCGACCTCCTGCCTCCCACAGGGACCCTTCTGGATTCTCATTTCCCTGTCCCAAAGGTGCATGAGGAGGGGCTGATATTCTAGTCTTAGAGACCAGGACAGCCTAGAACCCAGCCTAGCCTGGGTCTGAAACCTGGGTCTGAAGCCTGCATCTGGAGACCATTTGCCAGGCTCTTTTCTGGCTTTGTGTTCTTTCCTGTAAATACATATGGTTGTACTAGCTTAGCATTTTTCAAGGTGGGATGGGCCTCTGGCGTCAGAAACACTAGGGCACTTGTTAAAATGCTGCTTGCTGGGTACCTGCACTTATGAATTCAATTCAGTGGGCCTTGGAGGGGCGGGGGTACTCACAGGAGCCTGTGTTTTTAGAAGTACAACAGGTGAGTTCAGTGCATAATCAGGTTTGCGACTCCCTGAGCTAGATGCCGTGTACTGCCTTCCGCAGCATGGAGCTTCTCTGGTCCTGTCTCCATTTGATGGAAGAGACTGAATGGGGAAGTGATTTGACCAAAGTCATGCTTTTGGAAGGCCAGAGAACCTGGTCTCCTGCCTCCTAGGGCAGGATCTTTGCACTGCACCTAAGAGTCAGATCCAGGAAGATACAAGGAGGGACAAAGTTGGGGCGGGGTGGGGGTACGGTGTGAAGGACTATGAGGCAAGAGTCATTGTCCCTGCCCCCTAACCCCCTTCTCCATTCACTTTGCCTTTGGGCAATTTCCTCCAGAACCTGGGTGGGGGAGGGTGGGGTTCCGGTGTTGAAATGGCATTCTGGACAGACATAAACACCCCACCCACTTTGCCCACGAGCCAAGCTCTTGGGCCTACACTAGCTCCCAGCTCTGGGGATGGCAGTATAACAAAGGGGCAGGGGGCAAGGGCTAGGGAGATCCTCCTTCCAAAAGATAATTTGCAGTCCTTACTAATTTTGGATTAAGTCAAAGAGTGAATTTCATATTGGATAGCTGTGATAGGCCATCCTTGTGGTGATCTAAGGTCATGCAATTTGAGGTCATCCAGTCCTAGCCTCTGTCCTTTTCTAAGTGTCTCCCTCTCCCAGCCTGCCTGCCTTTACTTATATGGTAGGGGTGGGGTGCTGTGTCTGGCCAGAAGATATTGGGAGGTCCCTGCGAAATCTATTGTCATCTCTTGTTGAAGGCTGGGGGGAGCAGGTGCAGGGAGATGGGCGTCAAGGAATAGGGAGGTGGGATGAGGAGAGGGGCGAATAGAGGGGAGAAGATGAAGACAGCGGTGAGGGTTTGCTGAGAACTGTAAGCTGCCCAAGCAGAAAGGGACCTCTGAGTTCGACTTCTCCAACTCCCTAGTTTTATAAATGAGGAAACAGAAGCTCAGAGCAGTGTGACAGCTTTGCCCAGCCTCACATGGCTGCTCTGTGGCTGACTGGCAGCTAGAGCCCAGATCAAACATGGGTGGGGGTGCTGAAGGGGACTGTGTTTTCAAGGCTCCAAAGAGATACTCCCCCAGAAGAAAAGAGATGCCACAGGAAGAACTGACTGAGGTGAACTGCCAGGAGAGGCCTGGAGTCTGGAGACTCAGGAGTGGGATGGGAAGGTGTCTGAGAGGCTGCTGCCTGCTAGCAGAGTCGGCTAGTAGACATTCCAGAGCTATGCTGGCTCTTCATCGGGTTGAGTCTCAACTTCTGAATGGACCCTATAGGATCTTTGTGAAAATCCGTCTCAAACTAATTCTTGTAAAACATCACATAGTTCTTGACAGTGCTTAATAAGCCTTTGCTATGGTTGTTGTATGCCCTTAGGAACCTTGGAAGCCTGGTGCTGTGGGTTGGGGTATGGCTGGGATGACCCTGTAGGGCCATGGGACAGAGGTCCAGTGTCTCCAGAGACCATTCCTCCTCTGCTGCCTCCAGCTGATAAACCTCTTATCAGGCTCAAGCAGGGGAGCCCAGAGTCAGGATAGGAGGAGAAGGCAGAACTGCTATCAGCCACCAGGCCTGGGCTGTATCTCAGAGAAGGGGAGGGGCTGTCTGCTTGGCTCTTCCCACAACACGCTCCTTGGGGATCCCGAAGTACTCACTCTCAACCTTGGAGGATGAGACAGAGGAGGAAAACTGAGGACCAAGGGGGAAAGCAGAAGTGATCCCCGGAATTGCCCCAGAAAATGGGGGAAAAACAACCCCAGAAGATGTGACTTCTGCCCTGCCCGCTGATACAGTTTTGGGGAGCAAGAAGAAGGGGAAAGGGAAGGCACCTTGTCTGAATAAGTAGGTAAAGACCTACTGTGCTCCCAAAGGACCTGACTACAACCACAGCAGGTGAGGTGGAGATGACATGGCAGGGAAAGCCTTTGTAGCATAAGGAGTTGGTTGATGAGGACAACAGAGCTGGGGGCATGAAGCCTCTCCTTCTCTCAGCTGAGGCTGCTGGGAGATCTCCATGGAGGCAGGACAAAGTTGCTGGCCCCTAGCGGCACATGCTTTAACCTAGATCTTTTTTAAAACCTGTTTCTCCTTTGACACAGGTTGCTGGGGCCTTTTGGGCTTTGGGGACCCTGGACCAGGCCCTGGCCCAGTAGGATGCCCCCGTGTCCTCCCCAGCAGAGCAGGAACAGGGTGACACAGTTACCCGCTCTGGAGCTGGGTGAGATGGAGTTGACTTGGCAAGAGATCATGTCCATCACTGAGCTGCAGGTGAGCAGGGTCGGGGGCACCTGGGAGAAGGAAGAGCAGAAAAATACGGAGCCTGGCTGGGACCTGAGGCGGGGGGCTGGAGCAAGCAGGGAATGTTCCAGGCACTGGAAAAGGATGGCCTGGAGTAGGAGGGAGATCTGGATGGAAGACCAGAATATGAAGGGGAAAAGGGTGTGGAAGAGCAGGGGAAAGGAGTGGTGGGGAAGGAAGGATCTGACTGGGAGTATAAGCTCTCTGGGCGGCCACACTGCTCACATCTATCCCACCTTCTGCCCCGCCTTTCTTTTCTCACCTTCTTCCCTTCTGAACTCTCCTCCAATCCTGCCCATCTTCTTCCCTCATTTCCTCCCCCTGTCTTCAGATGCTGGGCCCCTTTCCCTCAGGTAGCAGAGCGGTAATTCAGGGGCCTGGAGAAGGGGGGGGGGTTAGACTATGACGGGGTCCTCGCCTCCTGCTAGTTGGACAAAGGGGTGTCTGTTGGTCTAACAATGATGCCTTTGTCCCATCTGGGCTGGAGCATGGTGTCTCCTCCATGTGGGTTGGGGGCCCTGTTTTCCAACATGTTCTCTCCTCCTCTCTGCACCTGGGCAGGGAGAGAGGGACCGAAGAGGAGAGGGTAGAACTTGTGCTGGCTCCCCAAGGTGCCTCAGCCCCCAGACCTGGCTCTGCCCACTGACCCCACCCCTCTTTTCTCCCCTGTCACAATGCCTGGGTCCTCAGGATCTGCCCTGAGCCCGCCTCCTGCTCAGCAGCTCCCTCTGCTGGGAACCCAGGGGATGGCCAGGGTCTGAATTTGACCCTTTGACCCTAGATAACCACAGCAGGAAAGGGTTTGGTGGGTGGGGGGGAGGTCATCATAGATAACAACTTCTTGTCTTCCTGAAGGAACTAAAGGAAGAAGTGCCATTTCAACCCAATAAGAACTTCTCCTCAGGAGGAGGAGATTCTATATTGTTGCAGCCTTAGATAGTCCTTTCCCAAGTCTGAACTCAGTGACTTCCATTCCTGTTTAAGCTGCTTTCTGATTGAGATAGCTTCACCACAACCTTACAAGAAGCTTTGAATGATTTTAGCACTTTTCTGTTCCCATGTTTTCTCACTGTGTCTTTCAGAAGGACCCAGCTTCGTTCGGAGAAAGAGCTGGTTTCTGTCCCTCAGGCTGTCTCCAAAACCTCTTTGTCTTTTCTTGCAGGGCCTAAACGCTCCAAGTGAGCCATCATTTGAGGCCCCAGCCCCAGCCCCATATCCTGGGCCCCCGCCACCCCCAACTTACTGCCCCTGCTCAATTCACCCTGATGCTGGCTTCGCCCTTCCTCCACCACCTTATGAGCTTCCAGCACCCACATCTCAGGTCCCAGAGCCTTCATACTCCTATGGCAACATGGCCATCCCAGTCTCCAAGCCACTGACCCTCTCGGGCCTGCTCAGTGAGCCCCTCCCAGACCCTTTGGCTCTCCTGGACATTGGGCTGCCAGCGGGGCCCCCGAAGCCCCAAGAAGACCCAGAATCCGACTCAGGATTATCTCTCAACTATAGTGACGCTGAATCTCTTGAGCTGGAGGGGACAGAGGCTGGTCGGCGGCGCAGCGAGTATGTAGAGATGTACCCAGTGGAGTACCCCTATTCACTTATGCCCAACTCTTTGGCCCACCCTAACTATGCCTTGCCGCCTGCGGAGAACCCCTTAGCCTTAGAACCCTCTTCAGGCCCAGTGCGGGCCAAGTCCACTGCACGGGGGGAGGCGGGGAGTCGGGATGAGCGTCGGGCCCTGGCCATGAAGATTCCCTTCCCGACGGACAAGATTGTCAACTTGCCGGTAGATGACTTTAACGAGCTGTTGGCACGGTACCCACTGACGGAGAGCCAGCTGGCCTTAGTCCGGGACATCCGACGGCGGGGCAAAAACAAGGTGGCCGCCCAGAACTGTCGCAAGAGAAAGTTGGAGACCATTGTGCAGTTGGAGCGGGAACTGGAGCGGCTGGGTAGTGAGCGGGAACGGCTTCTCCGGGCCAGAGGGGAGGCTGACAGGACCCTGGAGGTCATGCGCCAACAGCTGACGGAGCTGTACTGTGACATTTTCCAGCACCTGCGGGATGAATCGGGCAACAGCTACTCCCCTGAAGAGTATGCTCTCCAACAGGCTGCTGATGGGGCCATCTTCCTGGTGCCCCGGGGGACCAAGATGGAGGCCACAGACTAAGCTGGCCCAGAGGGGTGGGACTGGTGATGGAGATTTCCTTTATTCCCTTCTGATAAACGTACTCCCCAGAAGAAGCTGGGTTCTCTAGACCAGAAGGGGACAATGGGAAACCTGGCATTTGGAGGACCCAAGGTGTATTCAGTAAGGCTTGCCTTGAGACAAGTGTATGAGGGGAGGTTGGAATCTCTTTTTCATGTTTCAGCTTCCTAGGTCTCCAAACTCCACCTCTTGTTTGAGCTTTGGTATATAAAGCGCTCTACACAAATAGCCTTCCACTGTGTCTTCCTTCTTAAGAGAGGGTGATGAAGCTCAGTACTCAGAGTTTAGTGCTTGTTAGCGGTGGGAAGAGAATCCTGCCAAGCTCATTTCTTTCCCCTACAACTTTGTATGAAAGATACACAAGAAATTTGGGCTTGAGCAGTGTGATTTACCACCTTTATTTCCTTTTTCAGAGCCAGAGAGCATGGGTGATCTGAGGAATCCCACCCTCCCTGGTGCCCACTATTTACAGAGCAGGGATTGTTGCCAGCAGTGGGTACCCCTCTGTGCAAGGTCCCTGAGGTTTAGACCTCTCCTTTCTCAGTCTTTGGAACACAGAAAAGTCTAGAATGCCCCCCGGCCTTTTTTCTGTTCTCTCCCTCCTGGCTACTACTATAGGACGTCCTCATCCTGATGTGCCAGAGCTCTCTCAGAAGACAGAGATGCTCTTGATTGGAGAGAATTTGACTGGACATCAGTTTTGAGGGACTTCATACCCAAGTCTGGGCAAAACCTGCTCTCCTGTGGAGTAGGTTATGCCTTTTGGTGAACTCTTCTCCTTCGTTACATTAGACACACTATCCAATCTCCGTTTCAGGGCATCCCTTGTCTAGATCCTCAAAGATCTAGGGTCTCTTACTTTCTTGAAGCAGAATGCATTAAGTTCTAGAATCCTTTATCACCTCGAAGTCCCATCAAACTTCTCAGACACTACACCTTCATCTCCCTGGAGTTGGGTGGTTCCTGATCTTTCCAATCACTGAATTAACACAAATTACCTCTTTGGGGGTATTTTACTTCTATTTACACTTCTACTCAACTTTACTAGCTCCAACAATGAAAACTTACTTTCGAGTTCTGATAGATGCTCAGTTGTGAGCTATGAAAAGCAGATGAGGATCAAAGTGGTATGGAGTCTTTATGCTTCAAGATTCTCAGAAATGTGGTCTCAAAGCAGGGTTAGGGAATGAAGTTTAAAACTTCTGATCCCTAATAGATCTGAAAACAGTTCAGACGCCTTGTCAACGTTCTCAAGAAATTGAAAATGCAGAATCAAGTTGTAAAGGGCAGTGCCTGGGATTACGTTTGGAAACTTGTTCACCTAAGGGACATCAGACAGTGAAGATTTCACTTCTAAGCAAGCTCCCAAGTGGTAATTCAGAGGCAAATTTTGACCCTTACCCAACGCTGAGCACCTAGGTTCTAGTACAGTTCTAGGCACTGGATTTTATAATGGGGAGAAATGCCCCCCTCCCACAGATAAACTGCAGCAGGTTAAGACCATACAAACAGAACTTAATATCTAACTAAAGCAAAAGGTGAACAGCTTTGGAGTATGGACCTAGGTTCTGTTCAAGAGGTTGCAAAAACTTGCAACAGGTAATCATCTGAAGTTATGGAACTTACCATCAACTTTGTATTTGTAAAGCATGTAGCGAAATATGCAGAATGACAGATGCAGGACCCCATTTTTTTCAACAGCGATGTTTTGCACACTGGTGGCCTGAGTTGCCTTCCTTCTAAACCATGACTGAGAGAGAAACCTGTTCCAGAACTTCACGCCACATGTGATTCTTAAAAATCACAGCAGTGGAGACTGCATATACATTTACACCTTCCTACCCCTTCTACTAGCTGAAAATTGAGGCTGGATCTTCTCTTGAAGATGGGAAAGTTTAAGCATTTGCTGGGGGATTCAATTACTGCTCCCAAATTTTGGGGTTACTTCTGAAAAACCTGTTCCTCCCCTCCAGTCAGCTTTACCTGGTTCCAGATTTTTTGGAAGCCAGAGATAGTTGGCCAATAAAGGCTTGTGGAAGTTAACAGCTTACTTCTAAGTGGGCCAGCAAGAGCCAGTTTCATTACACTAAACCATGCTGCTGATGTGATAAATTTTATGTATTAATACATTAGTAGAACCACTTGCATTCCAAAAGGCCAAATAAGCTATCATTTACTTTTTAGTTTGGGAGTGCTTCTCCCCACCCCACCTTTCCCAACAACCTAATTGTTCCCCCCATCTCAATTTTAACCTGTAATTTTAACATGTTTATGTTGTCCCACCTTTCTTAACATACCTATTTTATTTGTTCATTTAGAAGGATCCAAGAAGCGTAAGTTAAGGAATGAAAGGGAAAGGACTTCCAACTCCGCTAAAAAATTCTGATTTACCATTATCATGAAAAAAAAAAAAAATGAAACAGAACCAAGTTAAAAGCATTTTATTAAAAAGTCCATTCATAAAACTGAATGATTAATTCAAGCTGCACAGCAGCTAATAACCCCATGGCAGTGAAAATAAGGGGCAGTGGCTCAGATAAAGGTTGTCCTCTTTAAGGAAAGATGTTGCTGCAAGAAAGAAAAAAAAAGTTATGAAGTGTTTACATATGCACTTGAAAGATTCTGCAATTACTCATTTTGTTTACTGGGAACCCAACTGCTTTAGATATTTTGTGGGCAAAATGGTAGACTAGGAGATCCCATTTTTTTTTTTTTTGGTTCTTAGGCAGCTTGTCATTCTCTACTTTGGTAATACCAAGCACTTTTGCTGATCATTAAATAAAAAGCTTACCTTTTAGCCATAAATTTGGACAGATGAGTTTCTGATTTTTTTGTATTTTTTTTTTGTTTTGTTTTTTAAAGAGAGTTGATTAGCCTGGAGTAGCAGACTCCTCCCTAGAAAAGTAAACAATCTTTAGAACTAGCTTTTCTGAGACCAAGTCCCAGCTCTGGGTAAATCCCCCCACCCGCCAGAATTAATGGTCCACCCTCCCTCCCACCATGTTTTGGGGAAGATTCTAATGCATTACTTTGAGCCATTGTTTTAAGGAAATGTATTAAAGGAGGGCATGAAATAAATCGAAATTAAGGGGCAAGAATATATTGTCATAGTAGAATTAGTGTTTACTTCCTTCATTTGGGAGCCAAGTCTAGGGTGTCAATTTAAAGCAATTGATCTCCAGAAAAACCAAGTTCAGCTTAACTGGACTAGTATTGGCTCAATACATTAAGGAAAATGTAACAGAAAACCGGATTTTAGGTAACACTATATGGATGGAAGTAAAATCTGTTCTTACCTACCAGCATAGCAATAAAACCTTTCCTCCTGGTTCTGACTGCTAGTCCTAAGAGTCAGGTGTGCCTTACTCTTGTCTGCCTCCTTTCTTGCGATGGTCACTGAAACTTCACTCCCTCCTAGCTTTCATGGAGCGTGCCGTGGCCTGCCCCTGGCTTATCTGTACTCCACATACCACAAGTGTCTACTCTCAGCTGTAGAGTGTCTGAGCTCGGAGCCATTCGCGCTATACTTGCTAGCAGTTCCTAGTAGCTGAACATCTCTCCTGGATCTTTACAAGGCATTGTCACGAATCCTGAGGTATCTGCAAACTCCCTCAATAGTTAAGGTTCCACCTGCCATTGCAAACTCAGCCAATATCAAACTCATGGAACTATCAACCATGCTTTCCCACCCACCTCCCCCCCACTCCCCACCCACCCTCCTCCCCAAACTTCCAAGTAACACACCCACGGGATGGAATACACAGTCCTAGTGATAAACAATTCTCTATGCTACCAGGTACAATGACACTGAAATTGAGGGTACCAAGGGAGGGCTCAAAAGAACCTATGTAACAAATAACAATGATTGGATATTAAGTAACTGTAAAAGGCTTTAAATAAAAATCATTTTCTATACAATTAACATTTTAGGATGGTTGTGTGATGTACCGTATTTAAAGGAAAACTGCAGTTAACATGAATATAATAAGGTTCCTCACCATCTCCATAATTTTAATGTCCAAACAGATTTAATAGTATAGTTAACCTATAAACCTCTATTAGGGACCCACCCACCAGAACCAAGTAAAACTGCTGTTTTCCTTTAATGTAAGCCTGTTTTTGTATTAAAAATAAGATATTCTTACTGGTGCTGGTCAGTTTAAAAAGGTCTCCCAAACACTTCTAATCTGTGGACTTATGGGGTGGCATTAGCCAGCAGCTGGTTTCTATTCTCTGGCAGAGTTTTGAACTTGTTGTGATAGAAGCATTCAACATTATGAGGGGTAGTGGGTAGGGAAGTCCAAAGCTCTGCCAGTCCCAAATCCATACAGTTGTCATTCCATTCAAGAGAATATTAAATCGTTTATTGATTACACATGATAATGGATGATACACAAGCTTTAATCCCATCTATAATTTTATCTGATACCATAATTCAATTTAGATATATTGCAAAGGATGTGCCAACAATCATATTAATAACCAAATAAACTCCAGACTTTGCTTGGGTGACCTTTTAATGGTGAACTCCAGGTCACAACACATTAACTATCAGTTCAACTACACCAAGGTTTGTGGAGACAATGGCTTCTGTGCCCAAGCAGGTTGCAAATAAATTTCGAATGGAACCTGGCATCACCCTGAAGGAATTCTAACTTCACACTGTTGGGGTAGTATACCAAGATGGCTTCAGAGTAGACTAACTTTACACAGCACATTTAAAAAAAAGACACATTTATTCAGCGTCATGATCAGACTATTACATTTAGCAATCAACAGCATGGGTGCAAAAAAAAAATCTACATTAAAACCCTTTGTTGGAATGCTTTACACTTTCCACAGAACAGAAACTAAAATAACCTGTTATACAATTAGTCACAAATACAGTCCTCGAGTTTTTTTTGCCCATACACATGAGTATTGTCTAAAACATGTCTTCTTTGTAGCAGCTAGGCCCTGCCACCACTGTGCTTGGCTGAGTTCACAAATCTGTTGTAACCTGTAGCTTCCCTGTCACTTCTCTGGCTCTCCTCTCCTGCTAAGCTTTGTTTCCTGTTGAACAATATGGAATAAAGTTGTTAATCTAAACATATTAAGACTCAAGGCTACAATCCAATAGCAAGTTTTGTTTCCCACAAATTTTGCTGATCTGAATATTAACTTAATATCCAAAATTTTACTGCAATTATAATGTTAACTACTTTGCACTGCTCAGCTACATTAGGGTTACTGGGTTCATTATCATTTATAAAAATTAACTTGAAAGATAAAAAGGTGTTTACTTACCTGGCAGTAATTAAAACCTTCTGCCACTGCCGTAGCTGCTGCTGCTGCTGGAACCACCATAGCCACCTAAGAAGAGAGTATATCCCTGTTAATCTTTGGAATGCCAACAAGATTTTTTATATGGGGGGCAAGAGATGTCCAGATTTTCCAGAGTTTGAGCTCACTTGACTTTCCCAATTTGATTGCACATACCTATCACTTAAATTTCCTAAAAGCTCTAAACTGTCAGCGTTTCACTACTATACAAACATTACCTAAAAGTTAGTATTTTTTTTACTAGAACTAGCTATAGATAGCTAGCACTTCAACACTGCGTATATACAGTACCTTGGTTTCGTGGTTTGGCGAAGTACTGGCCTCCACCACCATAAGGGCCAGAGCTTCTGCCTCCAAAATTGCCTCCTTTCATGGGTCCAAAATTTGAGGATTGATTGTTGTAATTGCCAAAATCATTATAGCTTCCGCCACCTCCAAAGTTGCTTCCTAGGAATGAGAAGAGGGCCTTTATCTGCTACTTGAAGATGGCAGTTGTGAACGCTATTTAGTCCTCAGAGCCAAAAAACCTGCATGTTCTGCTTGCCTTCCTCCCAAACTCTGAGGACTCCAACATTTCATTATAGGTTTCATCCTTTTCTGGGCAAGGCACTCAGCTGAGTAATCCACTACACTTTAAAAGGTTTACCCAATTTACCATGGGGTTAACAGCATATTGTCTATAGCCTTGAAGGCTACTACCCATCGAGGGCACTACAAACACATGCTGGATATATCAACTAAGTGCCTAAGATCCCAAAGGAGTTGAAATATTAAATCCTGCTAGAAGCTAATCTAATTCTGATTAAAGACACCGCTATCCACTTAACCATCTATCTATCTTGGGAGTGAGGCGGCCCCAGCTTAAAGCTAGGAGGAGGTAGCATTAGCAAGCCCATTAAAAAAGAATACCATGCACTGTACCACAAAATGCTTTTTAAGAGCATCAAATCCCCTTGTAAACTCTAAAGGGCTAATCTAGCTGTTGCACCAAGTACTTGGATCACTGGATACCTACCACTACCACCGCCATAGCCGCCTCCGCCTCCTCCGTTGTTATAGCTGTCATAGCTGCCACTCCCGCCATAGCCACTGCCCTGGTTTCCATAACCCTGTCCACCACTTCCATAGCCTCTGCTTCCTCCAGAGTAACCAGGGCCGCCTCCTCCATAACCACCTACAAGAATACAATTCTTCTCAATAAGACAAAAGTATTCAACAATCAAAACCTGTGCAAGTGTAATGCCTAAAAGCCTGCACACAGCATGCTATTTGTTATCAGAGCTAAGCTTGTCATGCACTAGTTTACTAACCTAGTCTAAAGGTTGCCAAAGGAAACTTCACCTATACACTCCTTAAAATAAACTTACCATCATTACCAAATCCGTTATAGCCATCCCCACTGCCACCATATCCACCACCACCTCGACTGCCACCAAAGCCACCTGGAAGAAAATAGAATTTTAAACTACTTTTTGAAACATAAATTATACACAATTTATACCCTGAATTTTATACTCAAGATTTAACCTTCTGGTTAGCTGAGAAGCCAGAACTACACTTAGATAAAATTTAACTTTAGGGATAACTGAACCACAAGGCTCACTATTAATTCTTAGTGGTAAACTATAACCACACATACCTCGACCACTGAAGTTTCCTCCGCGACCAAAGTTGTCATTCCCACCAAAACCACCTCCACGACCACCACCAAAGTTTCCAGAACCACTTCGACCTTTAAAGAGAAGTTGTAAAAAAAAGTTAAATCCTACAGATTATAATTACTTAGCTATCTGTAAGAATTATCAAATAAACCCACCTCTTTGGCTGGATGAAGCACTAGCCATCTCTTGCTTAGAGAGCGCTTTCCTTACTTCACAGTTGTGGCCATTCACAGTATGGTATTTTTGAACTAAAAAATTACCAAAAAAAAAAACAAGATCTCAGGGCTTAGAACAGAACACGGACTTCAGAACCCCTAGCAAAGAGCATGCCCCTGATACTTACTGACAATCTTGTCTACAGAATCATGGTCATCAAATGTTACAAAAGCAAAACCCCTCTTTTTGCCACTGCCTCGGTCAGTCATGATCTCAATCACTTCGATTTTCCCATACTGTTCGAAATAATCTCTTAGATGATGTTCTTCAGTGTCTTCTTTAATGCCACCAACAAAAATCTTTTTCACAGTTAAGTGGGCACCAGGTCTTTGAGAATCCTAATATGAAAAAGCCCAATTAAGCTTCTTGTATCAGCAAAGGTATCCTTAATAAAGATCACTAAAGTGTGTTAAGAACCCCAAATGGGAAGTCCACTTAGTGACACACTTCTAAATCGTCAGAGGCAGGAAAAAGTATCACTCACTTCTCTTGAGACAGCCCTCTTTGGTTCCACAACTCTTCCATCCACCTTGTGTGGCCTTGCATTCATGGCTGCATCCACCTCCTCCACAGTGGCATATGTGACAAACCCAAAGCCTCTGGAGCGCTTGGTGTTTGGGTCTCTCATTACCTGAAATGTTAACTCACTTAATACACAGTAAAACCCCAGAACCTCTGGTCACTTCTACCCTGGGTAACGTAATAAATTCTTTCAGCCCTTTATGCAAAGTCCTCCAGTTTCCCACTACCCATCTAATCTAAATTAACTAGTACCTTCTAATTAGGTAAAACCACACCTTGCCTTGCCAAATTATTTTCAACCACAATCCTGTTAACAATCTTCATAAGCACAGTAATTACAACAAAATAATCCAAGTAAACGGACTAGTTCTACTGGTCTTTTGTCTCTCCCAAGTCTTACCACACAGTCCGTAAGTGTTCCCCATTGCTCAAAATGGCTCCTCAGACTCTCATCGGTTGTTTCAAAGCTCAGACCTCCGATGAAGAGCTTCCGCAGCTGTTCAGGCTCTTTAGGAGACTAGCAGAAGGGAAAAAACTCGTTACATGTGGGCTATGACGCCAGACACCTTTCAGTTAGGAACTGCAAAACTAGGCAACAACGTTACGTAGCCCTTATTGTTCCTTCGGGTTACAGCAAGCCACGTGCTTCTCCCCATTAGGGGAGACGTATGTTGGGGGTTGGGAACCACGAGCGCATGCGTCCCTACTGTCCCTCCGACGCACGCGCAACAAAAGGACTATGCTAGAAAAATACATAACCAGAAGGAACTATAGCTGTTCTTTAGAAAACTCGTCCCCTGTGACGAGCTAAAACAAAACCAATCGAATGTGCCTAACTGTTTTGCCAGGAGGGGCAAGCCTGGCGTGATAACCAAGTGTTCCAGGACGGCGGCCTCATGGCGACGATGAGGACAAAATGGCGACCTGAACTTTGGGAGGGGTAGGCCCGGGCAGAAACCGAAGAACTGCCGAATGAGCTGGCGCAAGCAACCCAACGAGGCCGCATCCTACCGAACTCAGGAAGGAGCGAGGAAGAAAATGAGATTGGAGACAGCGTGTTACTCACCTCTGACTTAGACATGACGGCGGTGGGAGGGGAGACTTTAACGATGCTTACTCGGCGGCGTCCACGGGCAGAAAGGAGTAATCTAACGAACGTATCTGCCAGCCTACCTTCGGCCTCGCTTTTTTATCCCGCCTCCTCGCTTTAGGCATTGGTAGACTCCGCCCATGAGTATCTCTGATTGGATATTTGCAATGGCTTCCCCCTGCTATTGGTCTGTAGTCCCGCATTGCTGTATAACGTCATCCGTTAAGGCGTTCTACGTAGTCTCCACCCCTTAGAGGCCATTGGTTCCCGAGTAATATTACCCTTAACTAGTGTGATTGGCTCTCCAGCCAATCATTCATATTTGAATGTACCTAAAGTAAATAAATTTTTAATCCTTCAAGGCCTGAAATTACGTTCAACTCACTTGACAAAGTACAGTTAATACTATGTATTAGGAAAGACGTTATCAGGTGACTTTTTTTTTTTTTTTTTTTGCAACGACCGCCTCCTGAGCGCATGTGTAGTAAAATGGCGAGTTTACGCAGGCGCATTAAGAAGTTCCGCTTGGCGCTTGGAGCACGTGAAATGGCGGGCGGGAGACGGCGGCGAATCTACAGCGCCTGCGTAGTGGCGGGAGTTGTGCCTCGTTTTGCGCAGGCGTAATGGGCGGAGAAAGGGTCCAGTCCCAGGATTGGTCGCGCAGGCGCAAGGAAGGATCCGTTTTGGCGGGCGGTTGGCGTTGCGCAGAAGGCGGCGGCCGTGGTGTCTTAGTGGTCCGGCCTCACCACAGAGGAACAGAAAAGACATTAGCGTGAGTGATCGGTCTTGATTTCGGGTAAGTGGCGGATAGTCTTGCCTACCCATACTAGGTCTTGAACTGACTCCAATTGGGCCCGTTATTGTGTGAAATGAATGGACCGCGGGGTGGGGGCTAGTGAAGGGGGAGCGGTGGGTTCGGCCAACCAATGGAAGAACAGGGGCGGGATGTTTTATTCCTGTAAGTTCTGTGGAGCTTTGCAGTCGGAGAGTTTGACTGGCTTTTGTATGGGCCAATTGGCTCTACATTTAGCTGCCGACTGATCGGTCCTTGGGCCATCGGAATGTGGGAGGCGGGTTTTCCGCTCCTGAGCAGCGACTCCCTAAGCCAATGAGCACGGAGCGCGCGGTAGGTTGGGCTCCTCCAAGAGGCAGCGGGTTGACTCCAATGGGGAATGCAGGAGTCGGGCGGCTAAATGGATGGACCAAATTTGGAGCCAGTAGGCGGATACCCTACAGAAAGCGCTCGCGCAGGTCGTCCAATCAGCGTTCTAGAAGAGGAAGGTCTTAAAATTTGGGGTTGTGAAGAGGGTTCAATGTCTGTGATGGCGCGGCGGGCACGTATTTTATTCACAATGACTTCTCTAACGAAGTCTTCAGGCTTCCATCCCACGTACCTTTCTGGTAGGGAAACTATAAGTTTGCTCCTGTGTTGCTTCGAATTTGGCATCCCCCCCCCATATCGTTACTTCTCACCACTTCACACTTTTTAGTTTTTTTTAAATTAACATATAATGTATTTGTTTCAGGGGTACAGGTGTGTGATTCATCAGTCTTAAACAATTCACAGCACTCGCCATAGCACATACACTCCCCCATTGTCCATCACCCAGCCACCCCATCTCCGCCTCCCTCCCCCCAGCAACCCTCAGTTTGTTGGCTTTGAGAGGGGCAGGTTAGGTCTTGGGAACTCACTCCTTTAGGACGACTGACTTGCAATGTTAGAACCAATAGGATAAATCTCTAGTGTCGTGGAAAGGCGCCCAAGAAAAATCTACATAATGATGCATGTTTCTACGGACAAATGGATATTTGTAAATCCATAGAAAAAGTTTTGGAAGTCTACACACTAAAGTGTGTTATCTTTAGGGAGAGACTGAGATCTAGGCAGGTTGGATCTCTAATGTTTAAATCTTTCAGGGATTGTAATTTGTGACTAAAAATGAAAAAGTCAGTTTTTGTGTTTACAGTCATAATCATCTGCTTCTCATATTCTGTTTTATCCTTACACCTGGAGAAGGTGCTGTTTTTCCTTAAGAACTAAGGTGACCCTCCGGATAAAAATACAAATTTTAAAAAGATAATTTTTTTATGTGTATTTAGTACCTGCTAGGGAAACATTGTGTTAAGGACTTTATAAGCAATATCTGTGTCTCAATGCTTTTATCTTAGTCTCTTCTTTGAGGAACTTTCCCCCTATGTATATCTTTTTTTACACATTTAAAGAGTTTCTAAGCCTTCTTTCTGCCCTTCCTTTGAGGATGCCTGAATTTTGATAAGTTGCTTAACAAGGGCGGTATTTAGGGTGGTAGGGACAGGAGAAGTCAGCCATCACCTGGATTATTCCATTGCCTTGATTATATTTCCTTCAAAGTATTTTACAGATATTGTAATCACCTGTTGGTAACAACCATTGAGCTGATTTGAAGATGTTTTGTAAAAATAAAGAAATTTTCATTACATGATGGCTTTATCAGAATCTAAATTGCTCTCTTGTTCACTGACTTAAGGTTAATAGAAAAATGTTTAAATATTGTAAGTTCAACTATATATGAAGTACACTTCTGATTACAGACCTTTGTGACATTGTATAAAAGAAAGTTAATTTCACTTGTTCTTAAAATGAACAGAGGAGAGATTTCTGTGATCTCTGACACATGCAAGAGGACAAATCAGTTTCGTATCGTTAAAAACTGTTTGTAGGTGTGCTAGTAATGCAGCTGCTTCTGCTGAGTTTATAAGAACTAAAGGACTCTAGATTAAGGTTATTTGTCCCTAATTTATTTAGGTTCAAAAGGAATTCAATCTTGATCTATAGGGTTTCTTGCAGCATTATTGATGTTTTGAGCTAATATATGCCTCTCACCTCTTCCCTCACCCCCATTTGTGACTTTTCAGAATGTCTCCACACGTTGCCAGATGCCCTCGGGGTGTCAGTGGTGGTGGTGCAGAATCACTCGAAAACTATTGATTTAGGGGCGCTTGGCTGGCTTGGTTGGAGGAGCATGTGACTCTTGATCTCGGGGTGGTGACTTCAAGCCTCACGTTGGGTGTAGAGATTACTAAAAAAATAAACTAAAAAAAAAGAGAAGAAAACCATTGATTTAAAGTAACATGCTGGGGGTTCCTGCATGGCTCAGCGGAGGAATATGTGATTCTTGATCTCTGGGTCATAGGTTTAAGCCCCACATTGGGTGTAGAAATTACTTAAATAAACTTATAAAAATAAATAAGTAACATGACAGATACTGGAGTTGATTATCTTGTCAAAATCTTTTATTTAGTAATTGGAAATTGGAGGGAGAAGATGGGTGAAGTGTCTAGGAAGTAGCCTTTGATAAATGGATCACTAAATCCTAACGGTTATCTCTTCAGAAGTAGAGAGATCATCACTCCATTGGATAAAAGGAGAATTTAATTAAGTTTTTACCATTTCTTGCACTCTAAACACGATTGCATCCTGTGTTTGTTTGGCTGCCTAAAAATGTGGCAAATATGTTTTGGATAGAGGTGGACTTTGCATTAGATGCTTATTAGATTTTCTCCTGCTTTAAGCCTTTTCTTTGCTGGAATTCTTTTGAATAAATGTGTCTCAGACTTTTGATCTTGACCCTTGCTAAGATATACATTTACATTGACCCTGTACACATATGGAAACAAGTTTCACTATATGAATATATGTGCAAAGCAGTCTGGTACTTTCTCATCTACAGTACACTTTCATTTTCTTAAAAATGCAGGTCGATTTTTGGTGGTTTCGTGGCTGTGTTTAGACCACAGATGGGGGACAAAAGAAAACTGATCTGAAGAATAGGTAAATCATGTCATCTTAGAGTACTCTGAATGGATTCCACCCATCTCTAGCCCCAGCTCCTTGGATTTATAAACAAATTAACCATGACCCTTTATTTGATTATTTTAATTTGAAAGATTTCAAGATTTCAGCATAAGCTTCTTGGTTTACTATGGTGTGCAAGTACACATTGCTTTTTTGTGGATTCTCTTACAGTGTTAGAGTTAATAGGTCTGATGAACATTTCTCTCTGGTAGGGAAATTTTAGTGGGTAATTTTTCATTGATATTCTGAGACTATCACATTGAAAACTTTTTTTTTTTTCCCCCTTAAGACTTACTTTATTTGAGAGGTGCCTGGGTGGCTCAGTGGGTTAAGCCTCTGCCTTTGGCTCAGGTCATGATCTCGGGGTCCTGGGATCGAGCCCTGCATCTTGCTCTCTGCTCAGCAGGGAGCCTGCTTCCCCTCACCCCAGCCTGCCTCTCTGCCTACTTGTGATCTCTCTCTCTCTGAAATAAATAAATCTTAAAAAGAAAGAAAAGATTTACTTTATTTGAGAGAGAGAGGGAGCATGTGCACGCTTGTGTGCAGGAGCCAGGGGCTGGCAGGGGCAGAGAGTAGGAGAGGGAGAGAATTCTCAGAGCCAGATGCGGGGCTTAATCCCAGGACCCTGAGATCATGACCCGAGCCAAAATCAGGAGTCGAATGCTTAACTGATTGAGCTACCCAGATACATTGAAAATCTTAAGTTTGGACTGACTTTTTGCCTTTGGAGAACCTGGTTTGGTTCATTTATACTGGTCCGTTAACAAGACAAGATGCCACCCAGGCACCCCTTGCTTCGTCTATTTTTATTTTCATTTACCTTACGTGAAATTGGAAATGCTTTCTCCCTTTCTCTCCCTTCTTCTCCCTCTCTCTCCCTCTATCAAATAAATAAATAAAAATCTTAAAATCTTAAAAAAAAATAGAAGTAGTAAATTACAATGTGAGATACCACTTGTAACTGACTCAGTATGGCTGCTATTTACACATTATATTATTCGTGAACTTGAATTCTGAGCAATTGTTTTTTTTCTCTGACATAAACTTTGATTTTCCTTTCCTCCTTATAAAGGATGCCTTTTAGCTGATCATTGTACTAATGGGAAAGAGTCCAGGTCATCCTGAGAAGAGTTGGCTTGTGCAAAGTCCAAGATACAGCTTTGTTAAATTTCTGTAAGCTACTCGAAGCCACATATTCATTTCTGATGACAACTTTACACTTGTGTTGGCAGAACACCCACAGTGACAACTGGTGCCTATGTTTAGTCTGTCCAGGAGCTCTATCAGCTAACATGTTTGGGGAAAAACCTACACTGTTCTTGTTAGCAGCTATGTAAATATTAGACCTTGCGGAGTTTGTCTTCCTGGATCTGCCAGTATTTTGTAGGGTAAGTTACATTCTCTGCCTCAGTTTACCCTTTGAAATGAGGGATTTAAAGGTTTTAGGCATTCTTTGGGTTACTTGAAGTACAATTCTTTTTGGATCAGTAATTGGGTTTATATATATCCAGTTTATGATTTAAAAAAAATTTTATGTCCCCTGTGTAACAGTCTCCTGTGGCTTCTAGCCCAAATTACTGCAAACTTAGTGGCTTCAAACAACAGGTATTTATACTTAAAATTCTGGAGGTCAGAAGTCTATAATAAAGGTGTTGAGCCCCCTCTGGAGGCCCTAGAGTAGAGTCCCTTCCTTGCCTCTTCCAGTTTCTGGTGGCTGTCAGCCTCACCTCTCCCTGCTTTCTCTTTACTTCTTTGTCTTCTCTGTGTCTCTGCCTGTGATAAGGATGGATGTGATTGTGTTTAAGAGCCAACCAGATACTCTAGGATACACTTTTCCTTTCACATCTTTTGCCATATAAAGTAATGTTCATAATTTCAAGATATTAGGACTTGGTTATCTTTTGGGGGGGCACTATTCAGGCCACTACACCCTAGTTCTCTAACTCTTATCCATAAATTTT